AATCTAAATATATACCTGCACAATATCTTCAACGATCAAACGAACGAAATGAATTGATTAAAAAAATACAAGCACGCAATGAGCAACTTTTAACGAGAGAGGAAGAAAAATTAGACGAAATTGACATGTTTTTCATAGGTTTAGCTATAACAGCTAAAAAATTTCCGAGTAAGGGAAGAATTGAAGCAAAAAAAAAAATATTTGCATTAATGACCGAGTTGGAGGAAAAATATTTAGTACAAGAACATCGTACGTAATCGGTACATCTGCCATCTTAAAAGTATTATTTTTTATAGCTACCTCCCCTTTAACCTGTGCCCAAATTAACTCAATTGGGTTATATTGACAATGGTATGGAGGTAACCTTATCACTTCATGACCCTTTTCCAGTGCAATTTCGTCCAATTCGTAGCGTTTATATATTGGAATAAGTTGTTTTACACGCTCACATAATTCAGACAGCCGTTCTTGTGGTGAAAATTCAATATTTTTATTTTTCAGCCATTCTTCTACAACGATTTTTTGACTATTACTTTTGGGGAAATTATCTTTAAGCATTGAGTGATAAGGAGCATTGTCAATCACAATAACTGACGGCTCTTTGAGGTGGTTCAACATATCAATAAACCAATTTTTAAATACCTCGGCATTCATTGAGGTATGATAGTCACTCTCAAGACTTCTAACGTTAGCTCGAAATATTAATTTGGAATCGCTAACAAACCCATATTTTGTAGACCCTGCGTGGCAAATAATAAGGCGACCTCCTTTGCCAGTGGGTACTTTTAAACCTGTGGTGTGTTCGTAATTTTGCCATATGCGTGTTCTGCTATGATTTTGGTTTATCCACGTCTCGTCCAAATAAACGACAGGACGGGTGTCGTTTTTTYCCCGAAGTATACACATTTTTCTTAAATATAACGTAGTGCAACAATGTCGTTCCTTTCCATGAGAAATTTCCTTCCATCATTGCACTTTTTGAAAGAAAATTTCAAATTTTTTAGAAGCGTATGCATCGACCAAACAGAGCCTTCCCAATTGCACTTCTTCTTTACCTCCGTTAAAACAGTAAGAGCTGTTGGTTACTCACCTCTATTGTAGAACTCGTGCACTGTTCTACGCACTATATCCGCATCAAAATCGTCTAATTCAGTCAACGATTTTGCACGTTTATACGATGAAATTTCATCTTRTTTCGATAGGWCTTTTATAAAATTGTATACCGAAAAAATGATTTTTTTGCTCCGACTACGAGTATCACTACAACTGCCGGCCAATATAGAATTTTAAAAAATAAACTTTAACTAAAAAACAGTAGTAAATAATAATGTAATGGTTAAACTCACTTTCTGAAGTCAAACGTAACAAAACAGAACATAACACGGATAAAAATCTTTGCCGAATGACGTATATCGTGGTAGGGAAGCAGATGATATGTAACTATAGTTATGTAACTCTAATGAAAAGTTTGAACAAATATTTCAAACCAATAAAATCGTACTTCGCGGATAGGTATACATTTTATCAAGCTAAACAAAGACAAGATGAATCGGTKTGCCAATGKGRTGCACGTGTCAAAAATCTTGCTTCAAAATGTGGGTTTTCGTCGGAACTAACAACAACAGTCATTAGAGACATATTTATTGTCGGAATGGGTTCAGGACCAATCCAAGATCGTCTGTTAGAAGAGGATGCCTCAAAAATTGGAGTTACATATTCAAATCTAATGGAAATCGCGACAGCCAATAAAGATGCTGCAATAAATGACAAGAGTGGCTGGAAAAAAGAAGAATACGCAGACTTGAAGTACCAACAAAAAAATAATGGACATACTGCCAAG